TAATAGCTGAATAAAATAATTTGTTAGTACTGGAAAAACATTAATGCTATTTGGCATCTTTAGAACTTAATGATGAGATAAAGAAAAATATAGGTTAAAAAAAGAAAAATATAGAACTTGATCATTTGATAAAATGCTGTCAAGAATCCCTAAATGCAAATTTAAATAAATTTTACATTTACAATCAAGGTTGATATTCGGCAAATAAAAAGTATTCAAAATGAATTCACAATAAATGCATATCCAGAATTGAAAAAGGCATCTTTTGCAACATCAAGTAAAACTGCCCTAGAAATAGAAACAACTATTTTAAACTCTTCTGGGAGGGGCTATTAGAGTTTCCCACATGAATTACTCTCTTCTTCACTCATTCTTAGCATTTATGTATCATTTGTCATTGCTGTATGGGTAAGTATGGATAGGTTTACCATATATTGTATAATTTTAAAGTTAATTAGAACACTTTAGAGCAGGGAAGTATAAATTGGGACTGCCTCAGAAAACTGGTACTTATGATCACTCTACTGAAGGTGTTTACTCTCAAGATGTTTCTTTTGTACCTCATTTAAAATAAGCATTTATAATTTTGTTGTATTTAAATTTTTATTTTTAATTAGTCCATAACTTAGTTCATTTACCAGAACTAACTCATTCTTCTAGCAATAGTCACCCCTCAAACACTCATTAATATCTATAAGATATTACTAAGATTGTTAGAAGATCCAAACCCATCATAATATAGTTAGATTTGGATCCCCAAAACAAACAAATGTTTGGCCAATTGTTTTGGACGTTATTTGACTCTCCTGAAGAAACACATTACAAAGCACTAAAATAAATAACGACATACGGGCTGCAAAATAGTTTTATTTATCTATATATCAGCCTAATATAATGACTGCTTATTTCAAATTTAAATGGTTTTCTGCACTGTTCAAATTCTTATTCATAGTACATATTTTTAAAGCATTATGTTTCCCTTAAAATGGTAGTTGTGTGCACAATGAGAATGAAATTCACTCCTTTGGTTTTAGTATTAAACAATAGCATATTCACTCTTAATGGCCCTGTCATTGTATCCAGATTCTTTTACTAAATGTAATTTATTTTGGTTTGTTTTGAAAAGTAACTAGAAAAATGCTAACAGTAATTGCTAGGTAAAATAATAAATGTCAGGTCAACTTTCCTTGCTAGAAGAGTTTTTTAACTGTAAAGCTTGTAAGAATATATGTTTCTCCTCAAATTATGGATGCATTTTTAATAAGGCAAGTTATATATAATTTTATCAACTGTGTAAATTATACTCAAGTATAAATAGTGACTTTCAGAGAATTAAGAGCCCAGGGGAATTATTAACTCACAATTTAATAACTGAAAAACTTCACAAAAATTATTTTTAAAATGCTTTCTTTTGACTCCTTATTCCTGAACTCTCAACAGGGAAGGTCTGTCCTTAATAAGTTTCATGTAAAAGTTCTGTTCTGTTTTGTTTGTTCTTGTAGTAGAACTATGTTCCAAGGCAGTATCCAACACGAATTTAAAATAAGTGGTTAATTTGGTCAGTAGAAAAAGAAAATTGAGAGTCACACACCATGGCTCACACTTCTAATTCCAGCACTTTGGGAGGCCGAGGCAAGAGTATTGCCTGAACCCAGGAGGTCCACACCAGCCTGGGCAACTCAGAGAGACCTCCTCACTACAGTAAATCAAAAAATTAGCCGGATATGGTGGTATGTACCTGTGGTTCCAGCTACTTGAAAGACTGAGGCAGAAGGATCACCTGAGCTTACCAGGTGGAGGATGCGGTAGTCCTGAAGTGGACTGCATACCAGCCTGGCAACAGAGTGAGACCACCCCTGAAAAAACAAACAAATAAATAAATAATGAAAGAAAGAAAGAAAACTAATAAATCTATATTTGTCAAACCACACTCTGGTCTGACTTAACTAATGTAGTCAATATAAACAATAACACATAGAAACTGAGTTAGCCTCCTCCTAATTCTGAGTCAACATGTATTTTACGAGGTGTCAGTATTCCCCCCCTATTGGGAGACTATGGTGCTTGTGAAGCTTACATGGGACCCCAAATATATGTACAAATCGTGCATGGAAAATTCTAAAATGAGAACATGTGACTATTATTTATATAATTATAATTCTTCATTTATACACCATTCCTCACTTCTGCAGAAAACCTTATTGAGTGCTGTGCGTCATCACATCTAGACTCTGTTGGCAGCATCAGCTGCTCATCGCACAGAATCTGGCACTGGAGCCCTCACGTGTTCGTCAGCCTGTAATGTGCATGACAGTGTACCTAGACAGGGCATGTCCTATTTTTCTTTAACTCTCTAAAACACAGTTAGTATATTTTCTAGCTCAAAACAAAGGCTTAATCACCACTTATTAAATTATTGCAAGTGGCTTCAATGACTTCTGGAAAAAGACTATAATATACAAATACATATAAACATATCATATATAAAGCTGATTAAATGTATTAAGTGATGATATATTGTCTCAGATTCACCTCATTGATTATTGAAATATTGTCATTTAGCTCTGCTGCAGTTTTCCTAAATACTTGTCATATTTCAGTGTGTATTTGAGAAGTTTCCATAATCTATCTTCCCATGTGCCCCTACATAACTTGGTATATCCAGAATGGCTTTCTGGAAGTCTTTGTACCATTTATTTATTCTGAACTTTATAAAATGGGAGCTCTTTAAGTTCTGATTCCTAAAATGCAATTTTATATTATTTCTAAACAAGGCTTATAGACAATGTGAATACAAATGATTCATGAGTCTTCATGGACTACAACAATGGGCCTATGCGCCAAACCAATCATTTAAGTGTAAATACTATAGCTTCCATTAGTCTCCTCATCAAGTACAACACTTGATATATAGCAGATAAGAAAGAGCATTGGATTAAGTGTCTTATGACATAAGCTCAAAACTTGGATTTTCTTCATTTAGTAGACTTTACTAGTGTCAGGCAAATAAAATCAATAAAACTTTGGAAAACATATTGAGAAAAATTTTAGTTTGCATTATTTAATTAAATTGTAAACTTTATGAATTTTTAGTAGGGTTAGATATTATACTTAGCATGGAAGTTGAGTAGACATGGACTGTCATCATTTGGATATCAAAATATAGTATTTGATTTTACTTTGAATTTCAAGGTGGGAACATCAATCTAACAAGTTTTTTTCTTTTTTGTTTTCTTTCTGCTGACACTTGACACTTTATTAGTGGGGTAAAAAACTTTTTCAAAATCACAAGCAGAAAGTATTGGAATCAGAACCAGAATGTCATGTGTCTTAGTCCAATCCCTATACTTTCTTAGTGGTTCCCCAAGGAACCACTCAGCATCAGAATTAAATAAAGTTTTCCCCTATGAATATCCACGTTCATCTTTTGATTAAAAAGTCATTGTTTGTGAAGCCAGTAATAATTTGCCATGTTGACATTTCTTCACATGGGCTGAAGGAAGCAGCTCAAAAAGAAGTATAACTCAGCACTTTCCCCACAAAGCAAAGCAAAGCTAAGCCCTTATCTCAAAATATAACATTCTATACTTTGATAATTTAATGCCTATGGCTATTGTATATCATTCAGTCACCATACTGGTGTAACTCAGTTTACCATACGTCTTTTATCTTAATTATAATTGGTAGAAATTAATATGTATCCTATTTTTACTTCTGTATATTTTTTCAATGATTATGATTCTATTGGTTTTAAAATGAAAGATCATGTAATAATTTTATTGTATTAATCCAGACAATAAAAATGTAACAGGAACTTCCTACATCAGAAATGTGATATTTCTTAGTTTATTTTGCCTTTACCTCCTCTGTTAGTCTACAAGGAATATGGGCACCTCATTCTTCCCCCTGCATTGTAGTAACCCATTTATCTGTGCTCTGATCTCAATATAATAAGAATTGAATGATTCTCATAATATCTTATCTATTTCTAAATGTTATGAAACTCGTCAAATCAAAGTCAGACATAAGAGATGATACATATTATTTGATCCATCTCTTCTAATTTACAGATGAGAAAATCATTGCCCAGATATAAGCAATAGCTTTCAGGGCTGCTTAGGCTCCAGGCGTTATCATTGTTGTTGCATCTTACACATTTATCACATTATAAAAGATGATAAACACATTTCGAATTTACAACATTTTTCTGACCTTATCCAGTGATTATTAAACTTCTTCAAGATAAATTATGTTTTGAGGTGAAACATTGTCTTAAAAAGTATGTTATGCTTTACATTACTCATAATATTATATTTATAAAATATCTACATTTTATTTATGGCCATTTAGAGACATAATATTATACAATTTTTTATTATACATGGTAACATAATTAGATTAAACATTTTAAAATATGTACAATTATTTTAAAATCATGAATTTTTCTTTAAAGATTATTTTCTCTAATATGGATACTTAAATATATTATGAAAAAATACACTCTATATACACACATGAGTCAGTTTTATGATACATACACACACATATACTTTTATCACGAACAAAGTAAAAAAACAACTTTAAAAACTACAGGATGAAGTTTCTTAATCTAATTGTAGAGAACTGACTGAAGAACTACATTTGATTATCAGAGTCCAAATTAATAACAGCCAGATCACAGAATTAATTATGATGAATACAGTTCTTTTATTTTTTTCCCGTGCTCTTTTATGAAGAAAGATGTGTTCAGTAAATTTTTTCCAGGATGCTTTGTATACTTTAATTCAAAACACACGCGCGCGCGCGCACACACACACACACACACACACACACACACACACACACACACACACACACACACTCCTAACTCCTTTGATTCTTTGAGCAGAATATTACATTGAGATTTCCTTCAAATCACAGGCAGCTATGTTTGGCGAGTTCTAACAGAACTCAGTAAGGTGAAAGCCAGCCGGCTTTTCCTGGTAACAATGTATTCATAGAGCCTATGATCGCTGTCTGTTCAGGCTGCTTCTTGCTCTTGTCTCAGAACAAGAAAGGAGTGCTGCTTTCCTGGGGTATGCTATTTGAGAAAGAAAGTAACCTAACACTAACTGCAGGCGGGGTCGGAGTGATGTAACAGGAAGCTCTGATGTTTCCCTTCTGCTGCTGATCACTTACAATCTGACAACACTTCCAATCTACTCAGAACAACCCTTTTCGCTCCAGCAGAGTGTCACCTCCTGCTTTAGGACCATCAAGCTCTGCTAACAGGATCTCCTCGTGCCTGAAGGATCACATTGCAAGGCACTCACTCTTTCCCACCTTGTCTGGGAAGTAAATCTGTGCTGCGGAATCTCAGAAAATCAAATTCCATCCTAAGAATATTTCACCAAGAATTTCCTTAGAAGCTGTGCTGGGTAAGTGCACTAATGAAAATAGCTATATTTATTCTATTATCATGTAGTTTGACAATGTTTCTACTACAGAATTTAGGAAGTAGCATTGAAATAATGTTGAAACATATTCCCATTTTTTCACGTCTTAGAGAAACTGTAGTATATTACCCCAAAATGTATACAAAAATCTATTACTACTAGATAATGTTTACAGTGGTATTCTAGAAAATAAATGTAACCAATAAAAACAATCTAAATGGATTAAAAGACGTATGTCTGAACAAATATCTTAATCAGAGAACAATGCCTTTTAAAATTAGCTCTACTATTAGCTAAGCTTGAATCTTGACAGCTGGAAAACATTTTTCTTCCAGGAGGGGTCTTTAAACTTTCCATATAATCAGTATTTCTAAGAAAGGGGTGAAAGAATAACTACTTATGGGGTCTCAGATTCTCACTCTGTGGTTGAACACAATGCAGAGTGTTTAAAAAGTAATCACATTAGATTTATTATATTTGCCTTCCACTTGCCATTCGACTCTCTTTGCACATGTATCTCTAACTATTGAACTAATGGAATTTTCATTGTTCGTTGTTGCCAAATGTGTTTAAATCTCTCTTTTGCTAACCTTTAGCTGTTTCTTCTGTATTTGGATTATGGGGTGGGCTACAAAAAAGCAAACAAACAAACAAAAACAAAAAACTAAGAGTTAGAAGAAGTAGAGATTTAAAAAAAATAATTCTTAATTTCAAAAACTTTAACCAAGGGAATACATCAACTTGCCTGGTATCCCTCTACAAGTTTTGAGTGAATCCAATATATCTGTAGACAAAGAAATGTAACAGAGCTTTCCCAAGCAAGCATATTAGATTATTAAATAGAGAAATTAAAGTACGTATTTTTAAAAATTATTTGGTATAAAATTTACTGAAATGTTGAGATAAAACATCTGTTAACACTCGTTCCAATAATTCAGACCATCCTGGATATTTAAGACACTAATGTCTACTTAAACAAATTGTTTGTATAGAGGTATCACAAATTTGTTTCTAAAAAAAAGTTCGATGTCAGATTTAAGTGTAAGTTATATTGACTGACATAATTTTTAATTTATATATTGTATTACCTAAATGGAATTATACTCTGCAAAATGTCCTTCAGTGGAAACATCCTGTACATAATCACCCATAATCTGGCGCATTAACAGTAGACTTACAAGCATCCCGAGTAACTCCTTGGTAATTTTTGACTCAGTTTTTCCACAAAGTTCTCAACATAATGAAAACTTTAATTAGTTCTTACATTTGTGATTATTTAAAATATTGTGGCTAACTTCTATCTTTTTTCAATCTTTGATTGTACTGAGTTCTCTGACACATGTATAGAAATGGGGAAAATGTTTTTAGAATGTGACTTTAAATAGCCATTATATAGCTGGGGGATAACATGGAAATAACACATTAAATAATCCGATTCTATGAATTAATAACAAAATTAAAACAATATTATTTTTAATACAGTTTATTTCTTAGGAGGGCCTATGTTAATATCTTATGTTATAATAAGTAATTCCCTAAACTTCTCTAATTTGTATTTAATTGCTTCCTGAAACCCTTAATTTTCTTGCATAATTTAATTAAATATTTATGACTGTACCAATAGCATGGTTTATAATCATTTTTCTTAAAAAAAAAAAAACTAGGCTATGCACATTGAAGGTAATTAGGCAAAGACATTTGAAGAAATAACCTTAAGTTTTAAATAAGAATTTGTATTATCATATTCCAAAATTTGTTTTCTTTAATGATAAGAGAATAGAGTAACAATGCATGCTTTTAGCCATAAAGACATTAATTTCTTTTTATAGGTGATACTTCCCTGTAACATCATACACTCAGAACATAGAGTCTTCAATTAGCTCTAAATATGTAAAATGAAAAACAGAATTGGGAAATTGTATGAGTAATGTGAATTGAAATATGTCTTACTTGAAATATTCTATTTCTTAAAGCGATATACCTTTTGTTACTGTTACAAGATTGTTTCTAACATATCTTGGCACGTGCCAAAGAATTATATTCAAAATTGTAATATGTATTTTTAGAAATTATAAAATTATTTATTCACTTTGAAAAAAATGAAATAACAGGAAAATTTTAACAATTAAAACTTGGTCTGTAATTTTAAAAATTATTTTAAATGAATAGCCAAGGTATATATTGTTTTCCTAATGATGATTCCTAGAATATAATGGGGATTTATTGAAGTCAATTTCTAGAATATTTAAGAGAAAGTTTGAATTCACCTGTACATATTATACTATTATGCTACTGCATAACAGAAATAATATCCAGTAAAAATTTAAAATAATATTAAGACAAAAATATTATGTTATATGCCATATATTAATGCAGAAAGGTTATCTGATAAGCAGAACTTCACTTAATGGCATTATTTTATATTTCTAACTTAGATCATATGTGAAACCATTATAGTAATTTAAGGATGGTCTTAGACCTTTATAGGAAAAATAACAAAATAATTTTTGAAGTATCAAAATATGTAGTCACTAAACAAAACTCTTTTTATACTCTATGTGTGACCTTGAATGCAGCTTGAATGGATAATTCTGTTTTTAGAGAAATAATGATTATAGTGTCAACTTTTCAGAATACAAGTATATTAAGACAACATTATTTCAAGATTTTAGAGGTACTGCTTAGCTTATCTTTAAGTGTCATTGAAAGTTGTATCATTGCAATAATGTTTATAAAAGACACTTAAGAACATCAAGTCTGTACCCTTATTGATTCTTGATTTAATCAGAATTTTGGAGAATACACTTGAGTTGGGCAAATGATACACAGCTATTTAAAACTTTTCTGTGTCTGGTTTTGAAATTCATGGGTGAACTCTAAACATTCATAATTTCTCAGGAATGATCTCTCTTTCTACCAAAGTATTTGTACCATGCTGTATTGCAAATTGTTTCAAGAAATATTCTCATTTAATATATGAAAATCTTGTGATACAATTAGGTGGAAAATGAAATTTTACTAGAAATACAAAATAAGATCTACATGCTTACCTTATAACTCCATCCTTTTCCTATTTATTCACGTGGACAACCCATTCTTGCCCAAATTCTTTCACCAATAGCAGTTAAGCAACTCAAAGTATCTGGATAGTTTTCATACCCTAATTTTAGTTTGTCTATATATAAATTGGTCAATAATTCTGAAAATATATGGTCATAATTAATGTAAAATTGAAAAAAATAGGTAGAATACAATTGATAGTGAAATTTGGAATACAAATATGAAGCTAGCATGATACGAGAAAAAAGAAGAAAATATTGGTTAGAATGTGATAATTAAATCAACAAAACCAATTTAGCTCATAAGCAATATATTTTTATATTTCATTGCAATTTCAACTTAAACAGAAATGTCAATAAATACAGGTTATAACTGTGTATGTCTAATTATGATTATAGTATATTTATTAAGTCAAACTAGGTAAAATAAACTCTATGTGTTCCTACATTTGAGAATTAAAATAAAATTAATTTTTAATTTAATAAGCTACTTCACAAAAAAGGCTAGAAATACAAAATTTTTAAGAGGGTAATGAAGTCTTACTTTCTATTATTAAGAAAAAATATCATTGGCTGTGAATTTAGTATCTGTGTTTCCTAGGTTACTAAAATTATTGTCAGATAATAAGTTGCAAATATTTTCCTGCAACACATTTCTTCAATTAGTTTGTTTACTTAAGAGACAGTATAATTCAAAACTAACAAACTAATAGATTACTGTTGCAAAAGTGGTCAAAGTATGTATTTATCTGTGAAGTGTAAAAGAAGCGTTATCTTGTTATTCCTTCTTGGTTTTAATTAAATGCATTATGCATTTTTTAATCTTACTAAAATTAAAAGAACAGAAATTCCAACCCAACTCAACCCTGCATAAGCCTAAATAAATAAATCAATATCACCTATGGTATTGTGTTAACATTGATGAATAGAGCCCAGTTTTCAGAGGTATCTTATTTACCTTGACATGGAACATTTTTTTAAAATAAAAAAAAAGTTAATATGGCGTAAATATTTGTGTAAACTTGTAGTTATTTCTCTATTCAAGATTAGATTAACCTGAGTTCAGTTGTGTTTTTTATAAAATCATAGTGAATTCTGAACATATTATTTGGTATTCTAAATAGTAATGCTCTAGTTAAATAGCAACTAGGTGGTTTATGAGTACCCATCTCCTTTACTTAGTCCCATGGAGGAGCAATAGCATATTCATAAGCACACAGGTTTGGTTTTATTAACCAAAACTAAGATAAATATGTCTCATATCCAACTACTGATTTCATAAATTTTATAGGTGTGTATTTGAACCTGTTTTCATTAATTAACCTGAGACCCATCATTATGCAGCTATTTTGAATATAATATATATTCAATTCTTCCCTCCTTACAAGAATAACTTGAAGGGAAAGTTGGAATTTTGATAAGTAACAGAGAAGAATAAATCACATTACAGTGGAAAATAGGGATTAAAACTATGGGGAAAGAATGCCATCAATGCAAAACTGTGATTTCATTTTACTTAGTAATGGAAATCTAGTACTGTAGTAACTTGTTTAATGATTTATTAGTCAATCCACACGTCTTCTTTAAAAATGTACTCTTGATGAAACATTTTGTTTTAAGTCTTTTCTAAAAATATGCCAATATACTTTATTAATTAAGGCAAAATGATAATGTATACATTTGTTTTAGAAATTTAAGGGTATGTTACTTACAGAAGTGCAATCTAATGCACTAAGGATTTAGATCATCCATATATGAACCTAAAATTCACTTCTTATTAGGTCTCCTTTCTCATCTATTAAATGGAAGTGATAATTATACTACTGTATAGGGTTTTGAGAGTAATCCATGAAATAATACAACCTACTCATAAGACAGAAAGAGTGAACACGTGGTTTATAGTTAAAGTTTTTAGAGGGAATA